TGGTTGAATGATTGATTGTTTTTTTTCGGCTTTTATTAGAGAGAGAGAGAGAGAGAGAGCAGACACAGGCACACAGATCAATCAATCAATCAATCAAAGAATCAAGCAATCAACCAATCAATAAAACAGTCCATTGATTGACTCAGATGATTGATTGATTGATTGATGCAAGGAAGACAAATATGGACGAAGCACAAAAATCCATATTGCAAAATCACAATGAAGTCCAAGTAGTCAAAGTTATTGCAGATAGCAGAATGGAACCGAGCAAGCACCCATATGAGAATGAAACAGAAGAATTGTGAGTCAAGGTCGGGCGAACAGGGCAACACCAACAGCACAACCCAATTTAGCTCTCTCTTGTGAACTGCGCAAGGCGCCCTATGTACTCTACATCGTAAACCTACAACTACAGTAATGAAAGCAACCAGACAACTTCACTACCAGCGAGTGATGATGTGAACACCAATGCCCACTTCTACCTCCACCAGGTACGTGTCCTCTTCACCGATACTCTCCATTGTTACCCACGGACGTGGCCTTCACCTCCGATGAACCACCTTCGCCCTTACCTCCCTTGCGCCCTCAGGCAGCCCGGATCAATCAAGCAATAAATCAATCAATCAATCAATCAAGCAAGCAAGCAAACAACCAATCAACCAATCAATGACACAGTCTATTGATTGATTGATTGACTGATTGATTGACTGATTGATTGATTGAATTTTTTAATTTTATTTATTTATTTATTTTTTTGTTTTTTTTTGTGGAGAGAGAGAGAGAGAGAGAGAGAGAGAGAGAGAGAGAGAGAGAGAGAGAGAGAGCACAGAAACGCACACAGATCAATCAATCAATCAATCATTGAATCAAGCTTTCAACCAATCAAGCAATCACTTCATTCATAGAACGCTTGATTGATTGATTCATTGCTTGCTTGCTTGCTTGATTGATTGATTGATTGATTGATTGGTTGATTGATTGATGCGAGGAACATGAATATGGACGAAACACATATATCCAGATTGCAAAAAGATAGATAGATAGATAGATAGATAGATAGATAGATAGATAGATAGATAGATAGATAGATAGATACATAGATAGATAGATAGAAAGATAGATAGATAGATAGATAGATAGATAGATAGACAGACAGATAGATAGATAGATAGATAGATAGATAGATAGATAGATAGATAGATAGATATAGAGAGAGAGAGCACAGAAACGCACACAGATCAATCAATCAAGCAATCAATCATTGAATCAAGCAATCAACCAATCAATTAAACAGTCTATTCATTGACTCAGTTCATTGATAGATTGATTGATTGATTGATTCTTTGACAAAATGCAAGGAACATGAATATGGACGAAGCACATAAATCCATATTGCAAAATGAGACTGAAGTCCAAGTAGTCAAAGCCAGAGCAGATAGCACAATGAAACCGAGCAAGCATCCATTTGAGAATGAAACAGAACGGGAACAGGGGTTGACTACAACATAACCCAATGTAGCCATCTCTTGTGAACGGCGCAGGCGCCCTATCAATCAATCAATCAATATATTCATTGGATTGATGGATTGATTGATTGATTCATTGATTAGTGGTTTTTGTTTTGTTTTGTTTTTGATTGAATAGAGAGAGAGAGA